TCCCAAGCGAGATGAGTATAAGATAAAAATTCCGTTTAGCGAAACTTTGCAAACCTGACACCCCATCCTTCCATCGTTTCCTGTTTTCTTCTTGTGAGCAAGCGACACCGCACTCAACTCGGATCAAGACAAGTCGCCGTGATCTCGCTGACGGGATTTATAAGGGGGAAGTAACACAGCAGAAGTTGCACCCTGGGGGCTGATAATTGAAATCATTATTAGTTACCCTCAGCGCGCGTCATAAAAACTACATTAAAGGCATATGTTTCTGGTGATATTTCATCTTTGCACTGTATGAAAGACAAATATAAACAATTCAAAGAACAGCCAGGATTATTGGACAGATTACAAGAACATGTTTCAATAGCAGCTAATGTACCTGTTGATAAAAAAAACAATTCAAATGCCAAAATATAAAGTAATAAAATAATGTTAAGACAATTTAAATGATATTAACTGACTGACTGATTGATTGATTGATTCTGTATTGCTTAGGAATCTGGCGTACAACCCAATTCGTAGAATAGACAGCAATGCGTTCAGTTCAAATCAAAGGTTGAAATATTTGTAAGTAAATGCAAACAGCTAGATTATTAGCCTCCAAATTTTTAACTTTTCTGGGGGAGGATATCCCCCAGACCCATCTTCAAGGCTCTTGTCTTCGGCACTCGCGATAATGCACCTACGAACTCCCACCTACGGCCCTGCCTACGAGAGAGAGAGACTGTCCTGGCCTTGTCACGTGTCCGATTCACAAGTTAAAACATTCTGAAGCGGGCCTTTTATTTCGTTAATTCTCTTCTCTCTCTCGCACCGTAAAATAGTTTATTTACAAATGAGAAGAAAGTGCTGCCATTGCTTACACATCGTTGAACGTTTTAGTTCTTGGATAAGGATGAAAAACTCTCTCCCTCTCACAGTACTTTCACGTAAGAACTCTGCATATAAAATAAGACGTAAAAAACCTACCAAAGGACCTACCAAATCTCTGGCAGACATCACTCCAATAAATTTTGTTAATGTCTATCTCAATTTACATTCACATTGGGCGGCATTCACAATCCATGTCTTTACTACTTTGCCAACTGCGCGGCAAGCAGCTCGACAAAGTCCGCGACAAGGTGTTGAAAATGTCTCATGATAAACCCTCGGAAGAAAGTGAAAATGTAAGAGTAGAACAAGATACGAAGTACATAATACCACAAAGCGTCCCTTCATATGGATTTTTCCAAAGAAAAAAATGATGAGGTGAGATCTTGGTAGACCAAGTCGGATCGGTACGCAGCAAAAGAGATGAAAGAGATCATGTCACATTGATTACTAAAGCCGTTATCAAACACACTCGCAGGAGTTACTGTATCGAAATCAAAATCAGTTCTTGCCAAGGCTGAGATAAACGATAATGACTCTGCAAAAATTTGGAAACAGGCTGATCAACCAATGAACATGGCCCGATGACTTCAGAAAAACACGGCAAATAGATTTTGAGGTTCTTGGGCGAATGGGCTCCAACATAGCAGAATTCTCTGCCTCGAAGGATGCTTGAGCTTCAGGCTGCTTCCTTCAAACCTACCTTCAAGTAATAGTAACATGTAATATTCATGGGTAAGAGGACTTTGAAGCCGCAAAAAAAAGATATAAAGCATTTCTCGCCAAGTTTACAAACATTGCCGATACTTCGGAAGATTTTTCCCACGAGACTACAACTAATGCTTCGTGTACAACCAAGTGACTCTTTGTTTTTTCAGAAATCACGTGACTTTGCATACTTTTGTGATTTGTTTTCCAAATCAGGATACGCTGCAAAACATGCCTTTTCTTCGTGACCAATGAATATAATTTTCCATCTATCGAATTTAAAAAAGTGCAAGATGATCATAATTTTTTGTGAAGCTTTGCTTATACTAGTTTTGTACAGCAAAAGGCCAGACGTGAACTGTCCTATTCAGGGTAGGCTATGTCCACATTATTAATTCCGGATTGCTTTTGCGCCGGTATGAAAACCATATCGGATGGGGCTTTAGGTGATTTCGGCGCGATTTCTGTGACGGAGAGATACGGGGTGATATGCACTTTAAATGTCTAAATTCAAGTTATCCACCATTTTATTCCAATATTCATGACTAATTTTAATAGTGCATTATAAGATCCACCAAGTAAAGAAATAATTATGCGATTATGATAATAATAACAAAAGAATATCATATGTTATCATAAGCATTGCTATAATTCTCCTTTTTTAAAAAATGTTCTTATAAGATTACTTCGCGAATTCTCGCTAACTGGCTATCAAACTCGTTAGGGGTGTAAAATTTACTTACTTGTATGGTAAAAATTAGATGATAAATCGATATGAGACATTACAAAAAACATGCTTTATTTGGGGATTCTTACAGTCTTTCCTCGGCAGGTTCGCGTTTCCCAGATGCACACTAGCTTTGTTTTACTCGACAGGATTTTAATTTCTAATTCAATGGATGTCCTACGACCATATCATTTGCTGGGACCACGTGATCTGGTGGTAGAGTTGTAAGTGATTATGGTTGTTTACCATGAACAAAAAGTTTCCAGAAAATCCGGGTGGAAAGAGAATGGAACTAGAATTTTTGGGTTCCAGCGGAAAATTTCCGGGAGCAGAGGAAAATCTGAAAAGGTAGTCCTGTTTCCTCGGTGGGAACAATCCAGACAGAAATTCGCGTTCCTTTTCTTTGCTGTCATCTTTGATACCGTCTCAGGCCTTCGCGGCCGTTATTCGGTAAATGGAAACGATTTGTACAAATGGTAAACGCGATTACGGAACGAAATTTACCAGTACAAAATTTTGTTTACCATATTCCCAAACCTTGACCCATGTAAATGGTAAACAACCCTGATGACTCTTTTCTTTTGTGGAAACTGTTAACATAATTGTGGCATGGTAGAAGCTAAAATTACAATCTCACACAAATCACGGAGAAAACACCAACTGAAAGAATTTGATTCCCAGAATTGTTGCAAGCTGGGGCACTGCTTGTCGTTTTCTGGTCACAATCAGGACAAAAATGTGCTAAATTTATGTTTGCAAAGGGAAAACACTACTATTTTGATGCCATTAAATGTACAAATTGGAAAAAGTAATATAATATGGATGGGATTTCCTAAAGGGACTGAATTTTACATTTCACAGGCAAATCTGGCACTTGCTAATCTGACTCTACTTTTTGTATCTGCCATGCTACGAATCAAAGTCTGCCCCAGGTTGCTATCAACTGTAATATATGTACATGACCCGATAGCTCCTTTTCCCAGGCGTCAAAACTAAATCTCTGCCGCCGCTTATCGAAATAATAGATTCGAGGACGAGACTACGAGCACGAGATTTGATTTAAGGTTTTTTCGCGTATTGTCAAAAAATAGACACCCCGGAATTCTTCATTGTACTTTTTTTTTCACCAGAAAAGTTGGTACTGTTATCGTCATTGAAGGAGGTCAAGCCCTCTCCCGCTAGCAAAACGATAAAACCTCTTACATTTGATAACTTGTTCCCGCCACTACGACACTCTCGCTAAAACTCGCAGAACACTGACGACGGCTACCACGTTTTCCCGCCAAAATGACGCTGGCTCTAGGCTTTTGTACATTATACTTTTGCTTCCCTACTAAAATGCTTCACCTTAATGCTCCATTTTTCCCACTAAAATGCTCGGTCTCCCCAAAAAAGTCACTAAAATGCTCGGATAATGCTCATTATATAAACGGTGTTTTAAATTAATTTCAAAGTTTACACTTACAAAAACGTGCAAGTGTTGCAAGTAACAACGACAACATGTACAAGTTCATAAATACAGCCAGAAAAAACAGCTGTATTAGGTTTTTTGTGAATTTTGAATTTTAGCCTTCATTTTGTTTAAAAAAGCAGGAGCTCATGGGGCATGGGCTCCTCAAAAAAGTTAATTTCTATTTTATTTTCTCGGAAAAATTAATTTTCCGGGGGAAATGCCACTAAAATGCTCGAATAATGCTCAATGCTTTTGCCTCACTAAAATGCTCGAAAAAATGCTAGCATAATGTACAAAAGCCTAGCTGGCTCACGCGCGAGCACTACTTACAATTGAGAAAATCTCGTACTCGTAGTCGTTCTTATCTCAGAATCTAAATGTCTCTAATGATTCGTTGACCTCCGCATCTTGGCTGCGCAAAGAGTAAAAGCCACGACACGATTTTCTGGCTTAGGCCCTGACGCGATTGTGATGAGCACTAATGGAAGGCTCATTCATATCACAGAGCGCCATCCAGTGAACCTGTCAGATATGACCTTCCTAACGAAGTCAATTTGGAAATTTTCGTATCTACTCCCGGGTTCTCTTGCACTTATGTGGGCAATGAGAATCTCACAACCTGCTTTCCTTGTCCTCTTGGAAAATACGGTGGAACTCAAGGCGACTGCATTGCATGCCCAGCAGGTATGTAACACAAATTACTTACATTAGCTTTTTTCCGTATCGACATGACAAACACAACCTCACAAAAGACAAAAACCATGACAAAGACGGTTTCACTCACGTGGCCAGAAGCTATTCAAATTATACACATTTATGTAATTTATCCAAATATATGTAAATTCATGCAAATTTATTGCAACAAAAGAAAGCATAAGGAACGATGTCGACACCCATAGGACTGGTTTGGGATACCAGCATGACCGCCGTTTTATTTCCATGGGACACCAACATGACAGACGTGACGTTATGTGGAAAGGCTCCATAGATCATCAGAGGTCATAAAAAGCACGGCAGCTAAAAACCTTTAGCTTTACTTTCCCTTAGATTAATTAGGGATGATTAGGAAGACACGGTCTTTCATCCCCATGCAGGAAATTGAACTTCCTTCTAACAAGAATTTTCAAAAACAGTCTAGAAGAAAACATTTGTATATATTTATCAAATGATCACCTGCATTGTCTAACTTCATAATAAGTAGTGGAACTTTCTAACAATGCTATATTTAACTGGTGCCGCTCTTTTCCAGGCGGTTTCTATCAAGACGAGTTCGCCTATACAGGGAAATCAACATACGGCGTAGGGTGTAAACTTTGTCCGTTAGGTCACTATGTATCACAACATGCTGCCCCAGGAAAGGCGACAACAGATTGTATCTTATGTCCACAAGGCAAGTGAAATTAAGAAATGGCTTTATGATTAATTCGGCAGATTTGATGGGAATGGTCCTTCAGATAACTAGTAAACTGTCTGTTGTGCAGGCGGTTTCAGTATTTAATCTTACATTTTTGGGAAAGAATCTCTGGAGACAGGGTAGAAACCCTTTGTCGTTGTTCCTAAAATAATCCGGTTTTTTTAAAAAATTAGGGCCAAAGGCAAAACGTCGACGCCTCTAAAAGCCTACGTTTTGGCTACTCAGAAAAAAAACACGAGAAGAGTTCCCATGAAACTACTCCGCAAAGAGCTCCTACATAAAACTACTCCGGATTGAAAAACGTGTACGAAAATCTTTCCCCAAAATTGCCTGGTTAATACATATTTCTAGAGGCGCGGGTTAAGAGGTTACATGCCGAAGTTCTCGGCTCACTCCCGTTGTAAACTTCAAGAGTGGAATCATTCGAGTATACCTAATCGATTAAAGGACTACGAATTCAGTACACTTAGACAAAATCATTCCGATGCATTCGGTGAGGCATAGGCGTACGGGCCGGGGGGGCGAGGGGGGCTGCAGCCCCCCCAAATCTTGGGCAACTCAGATTTTTTGGGCAGCGAGAGAAAATTTGGGCAAAGCCAGTTTTTTAAGACGTTTCCGTGTTTTTCAAATCATTATTTTGAAGAGATAAATATTTTGTATTTTAACCTGAATTTGGCGTAATAATCCAGTACTGTTACATTCACACGAGACAGTGGTTGCCTAGCACGTAATGAGTTTCTGGTTGTAAGGGAAGGGTATCATGTGGTGATTTTTTTTATTGTTGGGCACTGTACTGCAATGGGCTATTTCCAGTCGTGAATTGATTAGAATAAACTTCCGCCTAACTTTCTAGAATCATCTCCGCTCGTAGAACAGTGTATGGCAGATAGCATCAGCAATGGGTCTGAAAGTGAAGAAGTGGCTGACTAATTTTCAGTTTGAATTACGCGAAGAATCGTAATTTTTTTTACAAAAATCTATCGAGTGGTTTAAAAATTATTCACTAATTTGTTAAATTAGACCAAAATGTTTACAAAACCGCTAACAAGAGTGCCATGATACATGCTAAATAATCAAATTCCTTTTTGGCCAGAGCTATCTCCATGATCTCTTACCCACGTTTTTAAAAAGATTGAAACTACTATGAGGTGAAATTGCATGTCAAAAGCGCTTCGTTTTCTACAGATAACGGTCAAACATCAAGATTTTCCTTTTTTACCGTATTTCTAACGATAAAAACTTTATCCCAAAAAATCTCCGCAACGCTCTTACAGATTTTGTTTTAACTTCACGAACATCAAGGCGACTATTGGAGGAAAATTCTCCCGTGAACGATTTTGGAAGAACAGTTCCTAGTGAGAAACGTTGCTGCAAGTCAGGAGATAGGCTCCTGTGCAAGTATAATAGGTAATGGCATCATTTGGTTGCTATGACAACTCCGATGTTATTGCAACCCGGATCATAACAAATTTTCATCTTTATCTAATACAACTGTGGTGGCAATTTTTCCAAATGTTTGTTTATGGTGTTGTAGTCTATGCCACTTTCATATGCTAGTACGGCTTATGTTGTTGCATCGTATGGCCCCCTTTTCTGTTCGACTGTTTTGTAAAAATTTGGGCAACTTGCAAGAATTTTTTGGGCAAATGGTTTACTGCCCCCCGTGGCAAAAAATTGCCCGTACGCCTATGCGGTGAGGAGAGACAAATTGGAAAAGCTGCAGTTAGCTTCCTTAACTATAAGACACATACAGAAATGATGACACATTATAACCTCAATCAACAATCAGCAATAAACAGTACGTATTTAAACTGAATATGGTAGAGAGATTGGTACTAGAAAAAACTGTTAATCATACCCAGAAACGTTGAGCGTGATTCTGATTTTACTATTACTCTCTTTTACAGGAACGGTATATTCAGAATATGCTGGTTTTAAGGGCTGCGAGTGTCTTCCCAATTATTATCGGCTAGATCGATTCGGCGCTTGTAAACGATGTCCTTTACGAGGACTAACTTGCCATAACGAAACAGTGTCGCTTCAGCCTGGCTTCTTCTGGAAATGGTTGTCAAATGAAAGTCTTGGTAACTACCGAAAGTTCTCAGCCGATCTTTTAATAACGAACAGTTCATACCAACAGCCACGATTTCGAGGAACAGTACCACAGGTATACCTGTGTCCATTGTCTAAAGCATGTCTTGGAGGTATGGAATCGAAGTGCTCTAATGGATACGGTGGTCCCCTCTGCGCCGTGTGCGGCAAAGGGTATTACCATTTGTTGAACCATTGCCGCAAATGCCCTGAAACATTGTGGTTCATTATACAACTGTGTGGAATTGCCATTGTTATAGCCATTCTTACAGTAAGCATCGTTCTGGCAAGAAAGAGAAGATGTCCTTCTGGACGGAAGATGAGCGATACGATACTCGCTCGTCTAAAAATTGTCATTGGTTTTTATCAAGTCACTTCCAGTACATTGAACACTTTTTCGTACGTGGAATGGCCCGGTGCGCTGTTAACAGTAGTGCAATACGCCAATATTGTACAGTTAAACCTTTTGCAGATTATTCCTTTACAGTGCTTTGTAGACAACGTAACGATGAATGCCTACACGAGATTTCTTGTTATTATGGGTTTTAACATTTCTGTGATACTCTTAGCGATGTTAGTTTACCAGCTTCGAAAACTTGTGCTAATCAACAATACGTCTCTTAGCAGAGATGAATTGGACGAAGCTCTTTCGTACAGCAAAACGCAGATCTATCGAGTCGTCTGTCTCGTGATTTTTGTCGCCTACCCTTGGACATGCGAAGCCATTTTGCATCTTTTGTCCTGCCAGGAGATTTGTTCCACCGGCCAAAGAGATTCATGTCAGTACTTTCTGCGCGCTGATTTCACTGTTCAATGCTTCACCAGTCAGTACAACAAGTACATAATACTAGCTTACACATCGCTTGCCGTGTTCATAGCCTTACCGGCGGTTACCCTATTCCTGCTATGGAAGTATCACTACAAAAAGATCTTTCCAGAAGGGCGAACCAAAAGTTACCATGGAAACGAAATATCCATTGGTCTCAGCTTCCTCTATGAAAACTATTCCCCAAGGTGTTGGTTCTGGGAACTGATCGAAGTTTCGAGAAGGGTTTGGCTGACTTCGACGATTTTTCTTCTTGAAGCAGAAACGCGAAGCCATCTTGGCGTAGCAGCGATTACGTCCGGAATATATTGCATTCTTGTAGCTTATTACAAGCCCATCAGTGATAAACTCGAGCACTGGCTGCAGTTGATCTCACTTCTCGCCACGTTTGTGACCATGAATGTTGGAATGCTACTAAAAATACCAGCGGAAGAAGCGTATTCGAATGGCCTGGTTCAACTGAGAGACTCTATGTTTGTTTCGGTGGTCCTAGTAGCGGTGAACGTCACCGTCGTTGGACTTATAGTAGGTAAGCAAAATTACAGTATAATAAAGGCTTAATGACTAGTTCCGAAGGAAACAGCAAGTGTTTGATTCGAGGGAAAAAAACGATTAGCTTCCCGAAGTGATTAAGTGATTTGTTATATAGCCCACTTTGAGCAACCTTAACGTGCACAAATCTATGAAACTCTCGGCGATATTCGCGGGTTTAAGTGCGTTCGTCATTAGGAATCTTACGAAACTACGACGGCGACGGCGACGGCAACGGGAACGTCAAAAAAGCAATAGGTTTAATGAGCAATTTAACAACTCCGCACGTGCATTACAACTAGCACGTGAAATGACCAAATTTTAAGTTGACTTGAGAACGGGAACGGCAAGGCGATAAATTCTACCATCTCTGTCTGAACTCGGGCGCTACCCCCGGCGGCTTCAGCTCCAAGCTAAAAGCTAAATCCCCATCTTTTAAGTAACAGGGTGACTTGAGATAATCGCGAAATAGTTTGAAAGGATGAGAAGTCTATTTTTCAGCCACGTCTTAATGGACGTCGCCCTTGACGGATCGTAAGGTCCCTAATTACGACGGCGACGGCTACGAAAACGTCAGAAAAGCAAAACAACAAACTTTGCACATCATAATTTGCACCTACATCACACTATTTAGTCAGTATATTTCTTTGCCATCATTGGATTACGACGTAAAATCAGTTCCGTTTTAAAAACTTGCAACTCGTGTTTTATCAAGTTAAAAATACTCCTGCTGATTAACAGTTGCAGTTGCAACGCGTTTTCTCTATTTATCTCTATTTTAGTGCACTGTACAGTTACCTTGATCAAAGCAGTTAATCAACTGAGAAAAAACACACACTGTGGCGTCGAGTGTTGCGTTGCGTTCATGACTCAGATGCTTGGAGCTGGAGAACACGATGCTGACTTTGAGCCAGGAGAGATTTCGAATGCAACTGTATTCCAACCTACTTAATAGTCAGTGGATGTGCCAATAATTGTGCACATTTCATTATATAATAAATCAATAAACTAGATCAAAATGGTTCATTAGAATAACAGTAAAGTAAAGAACCTTGAACATGTATATAATTTCGAACGACAAGAGGAGCCCACAACCCTAATCTCCAGGTTGTTATTACGCATGCGTCCCGTGTATGTAGCTAGTATTAGTTTGGACTTCCACTACGAATGTATGGAATGTACGTAACGCAATTTGATCACGCGCGTTTGAACCTTCTATCACTCGTAATCTGATCACGCGCGTTTTGGCTATCTCTCACGTGAATCTTTACGTAAGGCATAGCGCTGGAGCCTCGGTCGTTGTCGCCCGCACTTCGTAACCTAGTTTGGTTATTACAAGTATTATCTTTTAAAGTCTTTTTAAATAACTTTTCAGTTAGTCGGCCATTTAGTAGGGCCTTGAGGGTTTTGGAAAAAACCCTGAAGTTGATGCCTTCACCAACAAGTAGCCAGTGGAGCCCAATAGAAGGATGGGCGTGAAGTGAACGAAAATAAGAGATTCTGAATGAAAATCAATGCAGTTTGTAAAGTTTGCATTTAAAATGTCACATTCCATGGACAAAACCATCTCATAACAAAATGTTTCAACATATATCGCAGTTTCGTTTTGTGGGTGTTTCTTCGCTCTCATGGTCACCCCTAGCGCGAAATAAGACGGTCATTCAAAAAAATCTTTCACAGATTATTAACCCAAATGAACCAGATCCCTGCAATTGTCGACAATTTTAGATAATTTTAGCCGTACTTTGAAACACTGTAAATTAAAAAGATCTGTTTCAGCCGAAAAGTGCCAACTTTTTTAACCCTGCTGGCCAAAGTCTGATTCAGCTTCTCCTGAAGCTATTTGAGCTTCATTTAAGCCAAACCAGCCCCAATCAAAAGCCCATTCCAGCCCACGCCGGGACTCATTTCGGCCGGTGGATCCAAATCACACCTAGGTCTGCATTGGCCCTGATTAGACCCAAAAACTAGAATGGTTATATATAGATAGCTAAAATTATTTTTCCACAACAAAATAACTGTTTATGAATGTAGAAGAACACAGAAGAATAAATAAATGCCAAGAAGGAGCACGGGCGTGAAAGTGCAGTTCATAATAATTAGAATCGAATTGCCAATTTGTTAGTAAAGCTCGCATGTAACGAAAATAAACAAAAATGGCCGTTTTTATGCTAGAGACGGACAACACAGACAATCAGTCATCAAAAACTGTTTAAACACTGATGAAGTCAGACGGACAGCAAGCCCAAAATAGAAACGACCCATTTTCAAATTAAATCGGATTATTCGACAGATATAATTATCCGAAAAATACCCTTCTGAGACGGATAATCATCAATCTCTAGAACAAACAAGGAATGTTACTAAAAAGGCGAAAGGGGAGCGGGGAACGAGCACGGGGAACGGGAAAAATGGAAAATGGGAACAAAACCTAACTTGAACCCTGGCCCTATCATGATCTTCATTTCCAATACTCATTTTTCATTTTCCCGTTCCTTGTGCTCGTTCCCTATTTTAGTATAACATCCATGAAAACGGCCACATACAAAAACACGTGACCTATCACATTTAAAACCCCATAACTAATGAATATTTCATATTTTCAGCGCATCCAAATACGGATATTCCATGTAAAAACTCTTCTTGCTCCAGAAAATTCTCTGATGGATTTTAATTAATCCAGATCAGACTTCATGGAATGCGATGTAGTACAAGTATATAACTTTTGCGTGAAACCCATATCGCCGCTTGGTGAACCTGTGTAAACAGCATCCAACAGGGAGGAGGCCAGCGTAAATAAAAATTATATACTATGTCAAAATAATTACAGTATAATTTGATGAAAAAAAAAAATGAGCTAAAAATTACGTTGCGTAATCGCGACTAGCTCTCACCGATCAGAAAATTTATTGTTATTCTTCACGAAAGAAAACGAGGAGTTCTTCAGACGCTTTTCGCAAAAGTTTACATTCAAAATAGAGTTACCAAAGAACAAAGTATGCAAACTCCTAACCTGCCATACGATTCACTGTTGGTTATGTGGACATGGCTTGAACTACGTACGCCGGTCGGATAAATGTCTTATCATGGGGCGGTTATCGCTACAGTTTAGCGCGGAAAATGGCAATATGTAATAAACGTTTTTCACCGAGAAAGTATGTCACTATTACGACTTTTAAAAATTTATAATAGGAGTGCCAGTCCTATACATGCGATCCACTCGGAAGTGAATCGTGTTTTCAACGCTTGTCTGCAAGGAGTTTCAAGTACTTTTTACGCCAATGCAATGCCGAAGACAGCGCAGGGTTAATAGTCAACACCGTTACGTAGGAGGATCATCGGAGCTGACACGGTTCTTTTTAAAGTCGTTTCACTAGAATTGATAGGAGTAAGTTCTAACATTTTCGGAAAATTACACGATACTGATCTTTTCAGACGAACAAGGTTCTCTACTTTTTGTATCTGCTCATTATCTCTCACGGCACCACGCACATCTTTTCGTCTGGTGAATCGCACTACGTACCCTGTATTATTTGCTTGAGGTTTTTTAATCTTCAAAATCTCGAGCAAGGCGTTTCTAAAACGGCAGTCTCTGTAGCAGTAAATGAGTGGATTAACCACAGAATTTGAAAGCACCAGTGCCTCCGCTACTCGCCATGATGACATTTTATGAAGAATGGGGAAAACGTCAGCCAGAAAAGCGACAGAAACAACAGGAACGAAGGAAAGAATCAGTGCCGCTGTAACCAAAGCAGTTGTCTTAGCAACCCTGTTTTCCATTTTCATTGTCATTAACTGGCTGACCTGAGGAATTATTTTATTGAATTTGCGTTTGCGAACTTCACGGTATATCATGAGGTAAAAATATACGATGAGTGCTAGAATACAAAGTATTGAAACAGCTGGAATGGTCAACATAATCTGTTGGACAATATTATTCTCATCCCCACCGACCTCTATAACAATGAGGTTTGGGCTCCATACGAACACTGTTGCTAAAATCCACGCTATCGTTGCAAGTTTTTTCAGGCGGCCTTTAGTAACTATAACTCTGTATTCCCTCCATTTTTGAATGGCCACGTACCTCTCCCATGCAACCAGTGCCAGGTGGAAAAGGGAACAAAATGTCAGAGTGAATGTGGACAAGGAAGTTACCTCATCTAACGTGCAAATATTTTGTTCAGTCAGTATTTGATAGACAAGAAAGAATCCTTCTGAAGCAGACAACGGCACACATATACCACCGGTTACAAGGTCCGTAACGGCCAGATTTAACAACAGAATATTGGAAAGTTTCTGCAATTCTTTCCTTTTCTTTACTGCTATGATTACTGACACGTTTAAAAGAACTGCAGCAGGTGAGATTATAGAAGCGAGAGAGGCCACAACCCAAGGCGAAATGGTTTCACTCACCTCCCACACTAACTGTGGACCACGTGGACAATAAAACGTTGACCTGTTTGTATTTGAGAAGACGGTGGCTGTTTCGGTCTCTCTGTGGTCCATGATGAAACGCCCTCTGGAGGTAACTCTCTGTTTTCTTTACGCTGTCGAACGACCGGCTTCACAGCTACGAAGCACGCACACCTTCCTCAGGCTTCTAGTGATTTTAAAAGGGTGAAATTCTAATATAAAATTTTCCCATCATTATCAATGAATAGGCACTGAATGTGAATTTGTAATGATCAATAACGAACCGGAGAGAAGACAAGAAGAACCAATTAAAACAGGATGCGCGAAGGTACCCAGAGGATGCTGTTCAAATTGACGTGGGCTTTCGTATCGCTGAAATTTCCGATTAAATGAAGCCGGGATAATGAACTATACGTGTAATTGTCTGTTAACTTGTTTGTTTGAATATTAACTCTATTTTGTCCAACATAAGAAATTACAGGTAATTGTCAGTCAAGTTCGTTTGCTTCTGAGTTTTTTTTAAATTTGACTCATGCTGCAATGACAGTGAATGTGAGTGTTATTACTCATATAATACGTCATTGTTGCTCAAAAGGAATTAGTAGGAAATTATAGACAAGAGTACAATCAGATTCACATGCTTCCCTAACTTCACACTTTCTAAGGACGTTTCACAGAAGAGTGGTGTTTTCTTTAAGTGTATATGACACGAAATTTATCAAAAGTGATTTTGTCTCCAAAAAGATTTCTCGAATTTTGGCCGTCCAAAATTACTTTTTAACTGGGTTGCCTCAAGGCACGCCCAGTTCGTAATTCTGGTTGATTCGGTTGTCTCCGCTAAATACGGGCACTGTTAATTATTAACCCAGTTTAACCCAGAAGGCGTTGCGAGTTTCGACGAAGCATTTTTGCCATTTCAGCCATGTAAATTTTGCAGCTTCAATTTAAAGTTTGCCTTTTCATTTCTATATTTCCTTGTGTTTTATTGACGCAACACACGCCTTTTTAGAGGTCTAAATTTCGGATAAGGGTATAGAAGACTCGGACGAGGGACATTTCGCACACAAATTCATCTCATAGCCTGCGAAGCTGGCGGTTTGTTTGCTGTTGTTCGGCTTGGCGAGAGGGCAAATGAGCGGTGAAGAGAAAAAGGAACTAGAGGAAAGTACTTATTAGTGCAACGTTTGGTGACTTTGCATGCCGTCTCACCCCTCCCCACCCTAGAAAAGGTTAAGATCTAAACGCTCTGAAACGCGGCCATTTTTTGCATTTTTTTATGAGGAATTTTTTCAGAAAAACAATCGATCTCGTTCAACTGGGAATTATTTTCCCAAGTAAACTTTTTTTTTTCAATTTTGGGTTAAAATCTAGACGTAGAAACTGCTTCATCTTGCCTGGCTAGCTGCCCAATCGAATTTTTTGGCCATTGTTCGAGCCTGTAGGCCTTTCGCTCCAGTAGTTTTTTTTTAAATATTCTAAAATGAGTCACAGAAAGTCATTATTACTTGTATGTGCACCTCTGCAGGTAAATTGTCTCTTTATTTTGATCAGTGGATTATTTTTACTTAGACTATTGCAATTTGTTCTTAAAATACCCTCATTGTCAAATATAATATTGCATTGTATGCGTAATATTCCAGCCAATACTTGCTGAAAGTTGTATAAAAGCATTACTAGACAAAGGAATTAAACTACCATCCAGATTCAATTCTTTAGCGTTCTCAAGTGGCCTCGAAATTTACAGCTGAATTTATCTACATCTGAAAAATGTCAAAGTGTTTTCGTGTAGCTAATAGGGCTCGATACTGTATTAAACCTTTGACCACTATCACTCTGAACATGTCATAATAGGGTTACCTAAACTCGAATTAGATGAGAGTTTCGTCATTCTTTGGTACGTACCTTGGTCACTAATATATCAATTGGTCAAAAGAATGGTTAATTTGACCTTAATTTATTTCACAAAATTTTACAAAATAATTTCTTCAGAACCTGGTCATGATGATAGATTTCACTGCGATAGATCAGAACCTTAATCTAGTGGTGATAGGTCGAAACTCTTATCATAGAAAAATCTCTATTTTTAAAGCTACGAAAATTCATACAATTCTTTCCCATTGGCGAATTTAGGAAGAGGGTCAGGGGGTGTGTACCCCGATTCCTTCGTAAATACACCCATAGGAAGAAACATCGTCCCCAGTGAATACCCAAAACTTGTCTACGACTTGCTGGGTATGAAAAAGGCTAGTATGTACTTAAGCTTACAGGAAAGTTATGTGTGACGCCAAGTTAGGAGAGAGGTAAGTAAAAAATAATTAATAAATGCTTCTCCTCTCTTCTTGAGGAGATTTTCAGGGATAATGAAACAAATACTTTACATTAAACATAGCGGGGTTAAGAAATTCGACTGCCAGGAGGTAAACTAGTTGGTTATACAACTGTTATAAAGTGAGACAAAGAATTTGCGCTCGAGACTACAAAGAACAAATCCAGCTAGCGGTCAGGAGGGGACTTGAACTCTTTGCCACCAAAGTGCAAGTCCAGCGCTCTTGTGGCCACTCGACTACGCTACCTCTCTTTGAAATAATTTCAAAAATGCTCAGGAGTTTGGTACCACATAGTTGCTTCTTTAGGATTTGATGGAGCCGAAACCAAAGATGGAATTTCGCGCATTTTAGGAGTCCTAATGATAATAATGCGACAGTTAAATATTAGAGGAGCAAAAATAGTTTAAAGTCACAGTCCTCTATCAGTTATATTAAGAACCCGTTAATTACAAGGCTGATACCCGACTCTGCCCCTTAGTGTTCGAATTCAGGGTGTTCGACTGTTCTGGTGATTGAAATACAAAAAATACGAAAAAATTAAGTTTAACCGAGAACTCAACCGTTTTTTTTGCTCACGGACCGAGCCTTTTTCTTTCGTTCCTTTAGAGATGGACTCTCAACTGAGTCGTACAAAGTCAGCCTTTTGGAAGCAGAAATTAACTGAGATACGAAAGAATCCGGAGAAGAATTCCGCACCATGTCACGAACAAATTTTGCAACATTGAGATTGTTCTCCCTGTTTGTGGGATTAAGATTAGTGTTACTTTGGCGTTCTTGTGTATTAGTGTCTGAAGTCTTCTGCGTCAAGCAGCTGGCCATTGTTGAAGGACGTGGACTGACCATAGCAATCGACTCAAAAACGTCATCACACTCATTCTCAATGGAACAAGTCTCATTATGTGGCGCTAATTCGGATCCACCACTCTCTGTTTTCAAAAACCGTACTCGTCTTTTTTGTGGATGGACATTTTTGTTTTTCACAACGCCACTCGGGTCTCTTACTGGATTATCCTCTGGCAGTGCATGCGCAGTCCAAGGGAAAGCAGGCACCATCTTCGCTGGGGCTGACTGTGGTTGACTTTTAAGTGGGGGTAGCTTTGGGTATGTGCGTCTTGGCACAGGCGACGAGTTGGTGACACATAAATTTCTTTTTCCATGGCGCATAGGGGGAAGAGTAGACTTACTAGTTTCACGTAATGAAGCTTCTTTGTAGTTCACTGCTTTCATTTCTTTTCCACTGCTTCCCTGCAAGTTTGGCATCTTTAGTGACGCTGTTTCTCTCTGGCTACTAACCGGTGATCGCAAAAAGTCTCTTTTCCACTTTTTCGACAAAGAAACTCCTCTTGTCACCTCATCCTGTTGATCTTTAACTGACTTCCTGCATACGCTGGACATCTTTGTAGCTCCTGACCGTCGAGTTTGTGTCAAAGGAAATGGATCCTCTAAGTCTTCTCTGCCTTTCCTTTCTCTTCCTTCCAGTGACCTCTGAACAGCTTTTGGAATGACTGAATTTCTTTTATGAACGGTTCCTTCTCGAACAGTAGGCCACTGGAACGTACATGGCGGCTGTACCGGGGCTGACATTGATTGTTGGGGCGACGGGGAAACAATGGCCGATGAACTATTAGAAGGTAACGGGGCCGAGTTTGTAAAAGACACAAGCTTTCTGCCTCGGCGTGGATGAACAACAGTCATCTTTTCACCTGCCGTAACAGTGCGTGGTGGTTTGCTTTTCACTGGAGGTAATGGGGAATACCTCACCACGGCTTCGGTGGTTACTGATGTCTGTGTCGCCTTCGTCTGTTGTTTCACACATTGGAAGTGGGCAGCACTCTCACTCCCTCCTTCAACAGTGTTCGGGATTTGCTGATTGTTCTGCCGTTCCATCTCAACGATTAAGGTGGTAAAGATTGTCAGAATATCGTTTAAGAAACCCATATGAGATCTTCAATAGATATTATACATTTCTAACCAATCAAAATTTAAACCTCGACAGGTAAAAGACACAGCGTTAACCAATGATAGGCACGTTTTGAGGAACGTGCTCAGTTGCAAAACCATAAAGAGAAAACAAAAGAACCGTCAACCAATCATGTCACAGCCTCGTTACAGGCGTGTCTAACCACCGGAATGTAACGTTTTTTAAGCTGACCTTGACGGCGGAACATATCAAAGCCACGCCCTGGATTGAAAATGCGAATCGTCCAGGTAGAAAAGTTTCGTAATAAAAATTGCGCAATATCCAGCTATCTGACGCAATAAAACCACGAAAATTGGCAAAGGTATTTCACAATCTCCTTTTAACCTGAAATTGATGAATGCAAGTATCAATAAAAAACGTCATTTCAAATCGACAAATTTAAAACAAAAGGCGTACCGTTAACCAATCATGTTAAGCCCAGTAAAGGGCGTGTCCAGTCGGCTTTTTGCAAAAGTGACACGAAACCCAACAAGGCGCAAAAGAGGCCGTCAACCAATGATATCAGAGCCTCTTTCCAGGCGTTTCCAGCCGGTGGAATCTAAGAGGATTTCGCAAGCTTGTTGGCGGAACAGATGAAAGCCACGCCCTAGATTAACAGTTGTACCACGTGATACTTCACAATTGTTTCCTTGCGAATCATTTTAGTTTGAGCAACAAAAATCGCGCAGTTTCCATCTAACTTGAACCTAACTTAACATGCTTGAGTTTTCATGATCCTCTGTTTATTAAGATTATTAAATATAAATCGAAAAGCAGTTGTACACGTTTGCAAACTTTGAATTCTT